GGCATTCAATAGGGTGTGTCCCAAAAGATATCGAACAGTAGCAAGCCAACACTTGCACCCTTAAAAACCAAGGCCCGACAAGCCTTTGACTTTGCCAGTTATGCAAACACAGAAGTAACTTGGGAGGCGTATAAAGCGAACCTCAAGCAGTATAACAAGGAACTGCGTAGGGTAAAGTGAAATTCCTGGACCAGGTTCGGCACATGTATTAAAGGGACCTCAGAAGTCGCCCGCCTTTGGAAGGTCCACGAAACCAATGCACATAATGTAGGGCACATCAAAAACTCTGATGGTAGCTGGACCACGTGCAGCAAGGAAACAATAGAAGCTCTCACAAACGCACATTTCCCAGGGTGTTCTCAGGCTCCTCCTTCAGCTTAAATACCTCTTAAGTAATAGGAATCTCAGTTGGGCGATAAACAGTTGCAAGCCCTTTGAATCTTCAGGCCCTGATGGCATGTTCCCGGCCCAATTAACCAAAGCAGGTTCTAATTTGTTGTTATGAATAAGGAAATTCTTTACAGCAATCTTCAGGACCGGTATCGTGCCCGAAACGAACGAAGGTTGTTTTCATATCCAAAGCGGAAAAAACATTGCACTGGCACTCAAGGACTTCAGTTCATGTCTGTCGTCCTTCCTCCTCGAGACAATGGAGAGACTCATTAGCATCCACATTCATCTTACCATTAACCCAAATGACATTTCGGGATCACAGCACGCGTAAAGAAAGGGCCAATCCACGGAGACGGCTCTCCATGAAGCAATAAGCCCTTATTGCTTTTCAAGACATAGAGGGTGCGTTCAACAACATCCTGCCACGTTCAATAATCAATGTGCTGACAAGACTAGGGGTAAATTATCAATCCGTGTGCCTAATAAAGCAGATCCTGGTAAACAGAACTGTTGGGGAGCACTAGGAGACAACATCAATTTAAGATTTCGTAAGCATTGTCAACAATTTATGGTCGGGATATACATATTTGAAGATGTGAGAGTGAACGACTGCGATACTTGCGACTTAATCAACAGAAGCTACATGCGGAAGACTATCTCCACTTCCGAGATTCTATTGAGAACAACGCTGACACATGACATGCAAGAATACGTACAGAATGATTTTTAATGTCCTGAAGACATCGATAGCTTAATTTCTGCCGTTTCTAGATCCGGCTACTGATCAATTAGTGTATGATATTGCTACTACAAACATGATTCATAGTCCATGCGGAAATGTGAATCGTTCATCACCTTGCATGGTAGACGGAAAATGTACAAAACGTTTTTCTCCAATACAATATATATTAACTAAAATAAAGTATACTTCAATTATTTGCAACGCCTTGGATTAAAAGTACTCCCCTGCACATTTATATTTATTTATTTAAAATATTTGCATCCCTATTTAGTCCCCTTTGAACGATAATCAGAAAGTTGTCGTTAGTATCTGCTGGCTGCCTATAGGTGTAGAGGTGTAGAGCTTGATTGTCCCGTTGTTTGCTCTATCCATTACATTAAGCTCCCTGTCCAGTTTGCTGTCTAGCTTGATTCCTAGGTGCTTTACCGCTGATGGTAAGAGTATCTTCGGAAGTGATACGAGCTTCGGAAGTTTAAATTTAACAATTTGTACTTGCTTGTGAACAGGACTCATTCGGTCTTGGATGAATTAACTACTGCTTATTTGCCCATGCTTAAGGGGGGACATCTGAGTAGAGTTTTGAAAAAATCGAAAATTTTTTTTTTCGCTTGAAAAATTCTTTTTGGTCTTAAAAATAACATATCAAAAGATAGAGTCCGGCCAAAGTGTCGAAATTTTCCATTCTGCGGCGATGCCTCACAGGTATATCCCACAGTACTTAAAACTTTAAACGCGTTTTTCTCGAAACCACTTTTTTTGAGTTGGCCGAACACCTAACTCGAACAACTCTTAACCTATCGATCTAAAATTTTGACAGTATACTCAGAATACCTATGGTTATCGACACACGTCAACACATTTTTTTTTTATTTTGCTTACTTTTTTTTTTATCAACAATTTTGTGACGTTTTTTGTTAGTAAAAATTGAAAATTTTGTTCAATCACTTGCCATTTTGGAAAAAATCAATATATCGAAAAAATCCTACGTGTGTCGATAGCCGTTGAGATAAAGAAACTAACCAAACTTGATTTTTTGTTCTAGATCAAAAATTAAGGACGTTAGGTGTTCGGCCATGGACCCCCTTTAAAAAAATAGTGCCTACGAATAAGGGTTGCAGGGCCGCCATTTTGTTTTCGATTTATTAAAAAAAAATTGTATTGTGTAGTTTAAATATAATATAATAAAACCCCATTTACAAATTTTCGATTAGCTGTTTTGATTTGGCCAAAAAAAATTCGAGAAAAACCGCTTTTTTTTGGCCTGTTACTCAGATGTCCCCCCTTAAAGAACCTCAGCTTTTCCGTCAAACGGTCCCGAAGAGTTTTTGGAAATTTTCCAGTGAAGGCAATTGTTACGACGTCCGCGTCCGTAACTTTACATCCAACACCCTTGAAGGATCGTTGTAAGCTATTCTCCGCCACGTTCAAAAGATAAGTACTCTTCCTAAGCGTCACATTTTTGGCGAACGAGGTGAGCTCATGGAGAGCTGTCTCCATGGATTCGCCTTTCCGATACGCATGCTGTGAGCCGGAGACTAATTAGCCTTTCTACTGCCTTGATCCTTACGAAAGGACGAAGAATTAATTGATGTGTAATTCTGGATGGAGAAATGCGAGGGTTTCCCAGCCTTGGAGCCTTATTTGTAGAAATTTTTGAGATAAATCGTTGAGATTCTGCAACACAGTAACCCCCTCCTCCTCCATACCGACGCATCTCAGAGCCCTTGCCAAGTCGCTCTTTTCTGATGTTAACCCTTCCGAAGGTTCTCCTCCTTCCGATAGACAAGGCTATCAATCCCTTGTAGAGATGGATCTCGCCTACTGGCACTCTATCATCCTAATTCTACCTTGGTACCAGCTTGAGTGTTTGCATTCTGGTGGAGCTTCTCCGTTTTGGAACTTCTCCTTTATAAAACGCCCTTGCAACTCGCAATGCTTTCTCAAGAGGTTCTTGGTAAGGTGGTGCCTACTGCTGTCGGTTTCTTTGGCGTTAGCCTCCTCCCCGCCTTTTCCGGTTAAAAAGCAGACAAGATCTCTTTTGCCCATTGAATAATCTAGTCTTGGTCCGGGAAGAATTGCGCCGACTTGATTAGTAAAAAGCCTGCTCTTCTCCTATATTTATAGGAGCCTTGTGCTGCATTAAGTGAGTCACTGCCAGATCAGGGTTTTCCTAGAGGGTCTTGCCGGTTGGTTTGGAGTTCGGTGGACCCTTCCGATTTGGTAAAAAATTCATCCCCCTGTAGGGGGAGCTTTGTCATGCCAGAAACTCCTTCGCCTTTGAGCGCCCTGGGGTCAGAGTCAGGAAATTCCCTGTTCCACATTGATTTTTGTTAAAGTTACATGAATTTATTTTTGAACCCACGAGTTGACGGAAAGGGGTTCGTCCGTCGTGAAGTAGCCCGCGTGTCACTATAAGCCTGGTTGAAACTGGAGGGTCGGCCGGTCGTCCCGAGTTTGCATACTAATACCCGGTCTCCTCCCTGGACACGAATCCGTGTTCCACCTTGAATTGAAGAATAAAAAAACAAACATAAAAAAATCAACAAAAAAATATGGATACACGAAAAGTTGCTATACAAAAGAGTTTGTGAAAAGAGCGACGGTGAACAAAGCACAACCAATAGCAAACTTAATACCTCTTTCGATAAAAAAAAAAACAAATTTTGCAGTGAGAGTCACTCTGAAAACTTAAAAGGGTGCAAGTTGTATGAAGCCTTGAAAATTTAATAATTCAGAACTTTGAGTAAAAAAAGAAGTCCCAAAAACGACAACGTCTCAAAGAGGAAAAGCAATTAACAATTAATTTAACAAAACCAAAGATTGCAAATAACTGTTGATCTGTTGATTTTCAATGGAGTTTGTATTGGAACAAAACACATAAAATGTTGAACATTTGATTTCTCTCTGACGGAAACACTTTTTTTTAAGATTTCTAACTGTTTCGGTTCGACCAATTTTGTTGACATATCAGAAAAATCGGTCTCTGTAACAATTTAGCAAGACACTTTAAATAACATGCTCCCTACAAAATGTTGTTAAAAGTGTTGAAAAAAAAGTCTCATTTCCAGCTCATACAGATGCACCTTTTAAGTGTGGTTCAGAACCGGAAATTCAATTATTCCAAAAAGAAAGTAAATTAAGCGCAAGTTATACCATAGGTCGAATTTTCAGAATCTTTTAAAACAAATAGAAGATTGTGATTTAAAGTACATTTTTCTTTTGTACCCATAAAGTGGCATACTTTTGAACTACTTTTGATCGTTTTTTTTTTTTTGACATTTTGAAATGGTCAACCGTTTTCGAAAGCTCCGACAATGTCTAAAATGTCAAAATTCAATTTATTTGTTTGTTGAAAAAAAAATGTTTAAAAACTGTAGGCCCTATTTTAATCATCTGATGTAAAATAAACTGCACGCTGACAGGAGCTAATATGCGCTATAAAAAATACCAAAACGAGACTGGTAACTGATCCAGCGAGATCGTTACTATTAAGCAAAAGGGAAATCAAAATAGACGCATAAGTTAAGACTTATTCGTTAATATGTAAATCCACTATATCTTACATATCCACACATTTAATAAACCTGCGAGACCACTCAAAAAGGTATCACCGAACAATTAAGCGAAATACTCCTGGTTATGCGCAAATCGGATATAGTCGGGGATAATACGCGTCGTTGTTGTTGTTTTTGTTGTTCGGAACCTTGCGTGTGCGACTCTACTTATTATTTTATTCATTAGTATATTAGTATATATAATTTTTAGTGTTAACTTATATACGTATCTTATAATATATCTATTTATATGTAAATTTGTAATAACAATGGATGTAAATTTGCTTTTTGGCGATTATTCAATATTGCAGAATATCGGAGGATCAATAACATCGGAAAACAAAGTTTTTATAAATCAATTGGTACGCGACAACTATAGCGAACCAGATGTTTTCCAAAACTTTAATATTGATGAACAAAATTTGATGAATGCAGAAGCGTCTTTTAGTCCTAGTATCGTGAATTCTCAAAACAGAAGATGTGGAACGATAGCACGTAAAATCGGAGAGTATCCACTCTGGCTTAATAACGGCGAAAAGATACGTACCACGTTGTTGCAGATTATGGACAATCATATTATAAGCTACATTCCACCGGAAAAATATTCACCAGCTCATTTTCCAAATGTGCACAATTTTAATAAATTTGGTTGCCTTCTTGTTGGAGCCGGCAATGTAAATCCTGTTTGGCTAACAAAAGAATACTCTGGTATATTTCAAGAATCTAAAGTGATGCCGAAAAAAATTTTAGCACGATTTTTAGTATCACCGGAGGCAGCCTTACAGCCAGGAACGGTTTTGAATGTCAATCATTACCGCGTTGGTGAATTCGTCGATGTTCGTGGCAAAACGTGAGTAAGTTTTTGTATTACCCTTTTGTGCGTTTTGTTCGTTTATACACTAAGCGTCACGAGGTTAGCGTCCTCCTGAGTACGATCATTCGAGCTTTAATAGAATAAATAGGTTAAGTTAGGTTAGGTTGAGGCGGCGATGTGGGGCCAGTCACTGACCTCCCACCACTTGAGCCGCTGGGGCTCCTTGTGATACTTCAGGCAAGAGGTCCCTCAAGGAGGACTTCCCCCCTACTATCTACTAATGTGCCCAAGGTCTACCCTTCCTGCGGCGGCTCGCGGTCACATCCAGTTTTCCGGCTGAAGGCAACGAGTTCGCGTGGAGCGATCTGCGTGAGGTCTGTAAGGTCTATGAGTTTTGCTGCACCCAGGAGTTTGAGTCTTTTCCTAGAGCGGTTGGGCCATATCATGCGTGTGTTCCTACAGTTCTGGAGATTTCTAAATTTCCTCAGTGCTATGGGGCAAAGTGATCCTGGCATTTCAGCCGACAGGTTGCCACAACCTTCTAGGGATCGTAGTAGGCTGTTAACCGCCACGTTCCACAGTAGGGGAAGAGTACACCTCCTTGCGGAGGGCCTCTTCTGACGTATCTAACGACGCCTCAACAGTATTGTTTTCCAGGATCTGCTTTAATAGGCGCACGGATCGATCGTCTACCCCTAGTCTCGTCAGCGCATTGATTATTATCGCATTATGATTATATTATAATTATTGATCATGGCAGTGAATCGGCCCTTTTATACGCGTGCTGTGATCTCGAAAAGTCATCTGGGTTAATGGTAAGATTAATGTGGAGGCTTTCCATTGTTTTTTTTGGAGGAAGAATGATAGGCTTATAGGTCTTAAGTACTTAGGGGAGCAGTGCGATGGTTTTTCCGCTTTGGGTATTGGGACAACCTTCGTCCGCAACCACGTCGCGGGCACGATGCCTATTCTGAAAATTGCTGTGAAGACTTTCCTAACTCATGACCACAGATTGGATCCGGCTTTGATTAATTGTGCCGGGAAAATGCTATCTGGGCGTGGAGATTAGATGGGGTTGAAACTGTTTATCGCCCAATTGAGATATCTATTACTCAAGAAGTATTCGAGTTGGCTTGGAAGGGAGGGGCTGTCCCTCTGGCTCTGCGTTTCCTTCCTTATTTCTTCCTGAAAATACCCTGGGAAAGGTGCATTTGTGATAGCATCTAGGGTTTCTCTACTGGACGTGGTCCAGCTGCCATCCAACGTTTTAATGTATCCTACATTAGGTGCAGTTGTTGCGAGGACTTTCCTGAGTCGGGAGGCCTCCGATGTATCTTAAATGTTCGTGCACAACTTGGTCCAGGATTTCCTTTTTTCCCTTCGAGTTCTCTGTTGTACTTCGCGGGAAGTGAGCGGGAAAAAGCTCGTCCATCGTGACATAGCCCGCTTGTCATAATAAGCCTGGTTAAAACTGGGAGGTCGGCCGGTCCCCCAGAGTCCGCATATTAGCGTCCGATGGCTAATAATTGAATGAATAAGCTTTAATAAATTTGGCAATGAAAATGGCATAAAATGTTGGCACACTTAATACTAAACATCTTTACAACCAAAATTTTATACCTGGTGCTCGTAGAATAAAAGGGTTAGTCGTGTAACATGTAACAGGGTATGTAACATAGAGAAGGAACTATCTCCGACCCTAACAATTAAATTTCGGATAAGCATTAACATAGAATAGTTATATCTCTTATTAAATTTTGATGGCGTGGATCTCGAAAATTATAAGAGATATAACTATTCTATTTGGAACTATACGCGTATGGTATCCGCGCAAATTAAGTGTGTGAAACTAACAAAGCCGTAATAATGGTAAAAGAATACGTTGTTTGAAAATCAACCATGGACGAATATTTTCATTGCCGCAATATAAAATGCAATATATTTACAGTGCAATAAAATTTTTGTAAGGCGATATGGTTAGCTGATGGCTACTAAAATAAGAGTCAAGTGCACAGAGTTGGTAATTTATTCCGAAAGCCAAAAATCTCCATACTCTTGCTATAACTCTTGCAAATATACCATAAACTCTAAATCGGCTCGTAATCGATCGGCCCGCATGAACGATATCATTGTCCTGGCCACCACGACGCAATCGCAACATAAGTGGAGACTAGTGAATAGGGAGAGACAGTGAGCCCGGAGGTGGATGGTAATGAACCCGCACGACTTACAGACTGCACAGACCACTTTTAATTCCATTTTCTATTAATATTGATCTCCTGGAACCACTGTTTCAAATAAAGATAAAGAGAGATCTTAAAAGATAACGATTACAGTGGGCGGAGAGAATAAATATGAAGAAATAAGAATAAAAACCTCATACAAACATACTGCCCACGCGAAGCTATTTTTTAAGTATCTGAAAACGTAATTTTAATTGATACAAAATTGATAAACACCGGCTTTTTTTAACCCGCAAAAAGCTTGATTTTTAAGAGACTAAACAGGATTACAAAGCCATTTTGAACTGGTTAGTACCAATTACGTAGCTTGCAGGCAGTTTTTTTTGGGACTCCGGCCCGTTATGGTCAAGTTTACTGCTGATTTTAATAAGTGGATTGTATAGATTGACTTCGAAAGAGACCGCCAGTGTGTCTATTATTGTAGTCTCCTGCCTCATACAATTTATTTTTTTTGTGTCTTTCAGAATTGAGGGAATGGCTCGTGCACCAATTAGTGCTAGCATTTTTCCATTCATCACCAAGCTTAGAGGTCCTGACGATCAAGGGGCTCCGGAAAACAATTTATTAACTACATAGATAAATCAAAAAGATAACTAGAACAAAAAAAAATACACTTTTTTAAATTTGAGATGAGAGATTAAAGGGTAGAGACCATTGTAGTTCAAACATAAGACCTTAAAATGGTCGTGTTGTGCAAATGTCGAACTACAATGGACATCTAATAGAGTACTAAAGTTTCTAGTTCTTCTATTAGGAATATTGAAATGTGTTATTGAATATTGATTGTGTTAGTAAGTGCTGGCTATCTACATCACCATTAAGCGGTTATGTAGAAAACAACACCCTCTATGGTAAGCTCTATGCGGTCCTAGACTCCGGTCCCCCATTGGGGACTCCAGACACATGAACCGTAATCCAGTATCGGACGGACCAAAGAATAGCGAAAAAATTTTTCGACCACCACAAAAATATTAACCTGAGTTAATAGGGTATGCAAGCACAATTTACATGTAGAACAACAAAAACTTAAAAGCAAACGGCGTTTTAAGTGATGTCGACTGAAATATACCATGTTCCTTTCTCAGTATATTGTTTTTCATTCGTAAAATTATGTATATACAAAACATTTTACTGCTAACACTTAATCTTATTTCTAAATAAATTTAACATGTATGCTGAAATATAAAAAAATATAATATAACAAATAATATAATTTATTTCGTCATTTCACCCAATAACGAATACCCGAATTTTGTTAGGGTAGACAGCCTGAAAAGTTAGAAAATCTAAAATTTTGTGCGCTGGCTTCGAAACTAAATCAAACGCACACATACACCCGTGTATGTGAATGTGTGACACGCATACATACATAGATCAATCCAAGGGCAGACCAACCTTCTTCATCGCGCTCCTGTCAGAGACTGAGAAACAGAAAGCATTCATTGAGAATATGAGCGTAAGATCAAAGAACGATGAGCGTAAGAAAGAAAGTAAGAACTCGCTCTGGGTCCTGCTGGGGCCTGTCGCAAGAAATTTTTGCATCCATTTTCGTTGTATGAAATGGGTTGTCTATATGCTGTATGGTTTGTGCTAATACGTAGCCAAGAACGATAAACAACAGAAGTCTCCATTTTGATCCATCAATTATTAAATCATTCGCTAAACACCGTTTTTGAACATTTTCGATATTGGACTGAACCTTGCATTCCGCAAACACGGAATTGTATTGAGTACTAGCGAGTTCGTTAAAGGAGGGGGCAAGATGTCAAAAAAAATAAACAGTAACGGGCCAAGATTACTTCATTGAGCGACCCCAGAAGTAGCACGGACCATGCGGAAATGTAAATTTTTTAATAAGACTATTTGTGTTCTTCCATCTAAGTAGCTGGAGATTAACGTTAGGTTTGTAGGATAACCCAAAAGATTCAGTCAAAAGAATTCAAAAGAATCGAATGCATTAAAGAAGTCTGTGTAAATAGCATCAGTATGAAATCCCTTTCGGAAGTCAACTCCAATAAATTATTGGTGATGGAGCGAGGCTTATTGAAGCCATGCTGACATGGAGAGATGATCAAAGAGCAAAGGTTTTGCAAATTAATAAATTTTTAAGGAGTAATTAATCAATTTTTCAATCAACTTTGTAATTGGCGTCAATTTAGAGATGCCTCTGTAGTTGGCAGCATACGAATTTTTTCCTTTCTTATGCAAAAAATTAAATAATTAAAATAAAATGTTATATGAAGTAAAACTTTATATGAAGTAAAATGTAATATAAAGCAAAAATGTTGAAATAAATAAAAAACAAGAAAGGAAAGCTAACTTCGGGCGGAGCCGAAGTTGATATACCCTTGCAGTTAAAACCGGATACATATCGCAAAATCGGATGCAATGGGCCGATCATTATGAGACATCATAATATAACCAATTTATTACAATACAAAATCTAAAAAAAAAAAATCCCAATCTTCAAGAACACCAATGTTGGTATTTTTATTAAATACCAAATACCATTTCCTATCGTTCAGTTATATGGCAGCTATAAGATATAGTCGGTTATGAAATTGTTATGAAATTTGGTAGGTGAGATCAACTGACCAAAAATATAATTTTTAGGTAGGTGAGATCAACTGAACAAAAATATAATTTTTAGGAAGTTCCAACTTTGTATCGTCAAAAGTTGGATCAAATCCGATTGTTCAGTTATTTGGCAGCAATAGGTTATAGTCGGCCGATCATAATACAATACAATTATAATACCCTCTCCAAGGGTATACCAAGAAACGGCAGCTATAG